GGCTTCATTTCACATCCCCCTCATTCAGTATATGTGGTTTTGTTTGCTTTGTATCTTACAACAGTCTCATGTTGTTCTCTGCTTTGACATTTGATCTGGTGGACGAGTATGTCATCTCTTTGTGGCTTTAAACATCAGTATATTTCTTAGTAGTGATGTTGTTTCCTCTCCAGATGTGTCTTGAACAACCTGCACATGATTTAACTTGAGGTGTAGATCTTTTGTATAGCCAAATAAATCTTCTCCTACTACCCTTTTATGGTGATGTACAATTCCTCACACTCCATCCTCACTTCTGTCAGACAGCATTATTCACATCTATATCTTTTATGGATTGATATGCATATATTGATACACATGGATTATACATTCTTATATATGTATGAATTTGTATAATAGTCAACCTTTGGATGTTGGTTTCCTTCAGGGTTAATATTTTTTATTTGAAAATTGTTAAAACTGTTTAGAAATGATGCTTTCACTTTGATGGATGGCATCTAACTCTCTTCTGCTGGGAAAGCTATTTCCTAGAATTATGAAGTCACTTTGGGTAAATTTTAGGGGAATTCATGAAAGGGGGAGCACTTCCTGTGACAGCCTGGATGACTTCTGGTTCACACTTCTAGACAGAAGCATTTCAGGGTTCAAAGCAATGTTGAGGGAATAAAAAAGATTTATTATAACTCCATTTCTTGGTGAGGTCAAGACGCTATCTGACCCTTCACCTTATCCCCTTAGTCTCCCACTATCCTCTCTGGACTCATCTAACCATTCATGGAAAAAGAAGCTCTAGGGGCTTGCTCTGCCCTTTGGACCTTTGCCCTCTATGTTTTAGCCTAATAATATAACTCGAGTAATTTTGTAAGTATTCAAGAAGGGACATTCTATAGTTTTACCCAGATTTCTAATTTATACTCAATAGAAGGTGGGTATAAATTAATTTAATTTCTGATACCCAAATGTTTCTCACAGCTATAGTTTCCTTTAATTCATTCAATGTTTAAAAGGTTTTGAATTACTGATTAAAAATTGGGAGACCTGAATTCTTTTATTATTATCTGAATTAACTCAAGAGAAGAGGAAGGGGAGGAAGAAAGGAGAAGGAGGAAGAAAGGAGAAGCAAAAAAAAGAGGAGGAGGTGAGGAGGAAAAGGAGAAGGAGAACAAGACGATGGCTTTGAGTAGCTGGGGGCAGCTCCCTCTGCTGAGAAAATTACTGACTTTAGGTGCTCAGCCACGGGTCTCAGTTTACAAACATGCGCAGCTACTATAAGCATATGTATTAATTTAAAATTTTAATATTTTTTTAATTCAAAGAGGTTTCCTAATAAATGACATCTTACTTGCTTTAAATTTTGGACTTTATCAGTCATCTCTAACTTGGAAGCATCCACCTGGGGTGTGGATTCAGTCATACTCTTAGACTATGTCCAAACTTTAGCCAAACTATTCCAAAATCATCTTTCTTATTTTTCCACTGCTCAGCCTCTCATGAAAGCATTAAGTCCTCTAAGGAAGCTTATTTGCAGTTAGTCCTTATCATTTTGTCTGAGGAGAGAAAATTTGATGGCATCCTTTGTAATTACTCCAAGTGGCTAGTTATTAGAAGACCCAATACAACTCTTAACTTAAACAGTCAATTTGCTCAGAATCTGTTTTAATTGCTAGTTAATCTAGTATAATAATGATTGTTTCTCCAACACCAGAGTAAATTGAGACATATTAAAATTTATGTAAAATAGAAATCATCATGTTGATTCTTAATGTCATCTCATTACTAAGGGCAATGGCTTTGTAAGCAGATACTCAGGTTCTTCTTGCTGTTGGATATATGCTGTATTGTGCATGCCCATAGACTATAACAGAAAATGCTGGTTTTCAAGGAAGCCATGTTTCACTTTGGAAGGAGTGACACATAGAAAGAACTGTAAAACACACATGAAGTCCTCCTGCATATGTCCAAATGCCAGTTTAAAGGGAAGTGAATTAGCACGAGAGTGCCAATAAGAAGTTTAGGACGTTGACCACTGACAATAATTTCCAGGGTCAGGCTTTTGGGAATGCTTTAGAAATGGCAAAGCGTGATGGAGGTTGGGTGTGGAGTGCTTTTCTAGCCAGTGGATTTTTGCAAAGCTTGTCTTTCAGGAACTCAGTCAATTCTCCTTTACTATTTTTCTCTGCAAAATTATGAAAGAAATTCTGTAGTATACTGAAATAGAATTAACTTAATTTTTCTTGTATTTACATATTTTATTTTATGTATATGAGCATTTTGCCTTGTACCTGGGGAGGTCAGAATAGGGAGTCAGATTCTCTAGACCTGGAGTTATGGATGGTTGTGAGCTGCCGTGTGGGTTCTGTGAACTGAACCCAGATCCTCTGCAGGAACAGTAAGTTTGCTTAACCACTGGGCCATCTCTCCAGCCCCCAAATTAAGTTGTTAATGCTAAACGATGTGTGGAGTCTAATGCTTTGCTTTATTTTATGTGCATGTGATGGTAATGGAGAATGAGAGAATAACTGAGAATCATCTCGTGTTTCATTTGAGTTTTGTCATCTTACTTCACTGAAAAAGAAAGAAAATGAAAGAGAAAGACTGAACTTGTTGTACCATGTAAGACTGCCAGCATGTCAACAGTGACCGTAGGTGTTCACAGTCGCCATCCAAGTGCCTGTGTCACAGGTTAAACAGCATTTGCCTAGCCATTCAAAAGCTGTCACAAGATAGTGGATAATGAATAATTAAGATTGCAATGTTGAAAAAAATTACAGGCTATGAATTCCTCTAGAGATGGTCTAGATGGGAAGTACCTCAGACAAGACATGTAAATTAGAATTAGTCCATCAGGGGACCTTGGAGGTTGCATAATCCAATTAAACAAATCCCTCCCTTAACACTGCTACTAAATGGCTCTGCTTTGTTTACGAAGCCTCTATAGTAGTATATAATTCACTTTTCTGAGACATTCCATGCCAGACTTTTAGAATGCCTTTGCTTGTATTGAATGCCAAATCAGCTGCCTAATTAAATCTGATAGAACTTCCCATTCTGGGGGCCCCGACATCTGAGGTACCCCAGTGTTTAAAGGCAATGGTGACTTTCCTACTCCCTGAGACCACAAAGTGTTCCTGTAGGTTCCCAAGATACCCCAGCCTAGGGGTAATTGGTGAGAGAAGCCGTCTATGTGTATTACCTCTGACATATGATTTCCATAAAAGAAAAAATGGTGGCAAACACTGCCTTCCTTACAAAGTTAGTATAAACATCTACAATGGTAACATATTAGCACTAGTAGATACTATTGTTGCCATTGGTTCTACTTCCCCCCTTTAAAACCAGGAAGTAAAATACGTTTGATTTTATGAACTTTAACTTATGGAAAACTAGTTTTTATATTGCCCCCGTCTCTTCGTTTGACGAAATACGAGTTCCTTCTGCACCTCTTTATTTAACCATCAGCCCAAGATTTTTTAACATCTTAGTTGTTTCCTTGTGGACACCTACAGCGTGTTTGGGTTCCTTTTCCAATAAATAATCCTGACAGGTTCCCTCATCAATAAGGTTGGCAAGTATGTCTTTGAGGAGTGAGTTGAATAAAGGAACAGAGAAAATACATTCCCGTTGGAAAACAGAATAGTGAGCCAAGGAAGTCATGGCACACATGTTCAGAACTAATAGCATAGCGAGGTGCATTAAAATTGTGGGACAAGTTCATCTCAAAGAGACTCAATTTTAAAGTCTGTGGAACCATGCGATTGGCTTTTGTCACATGTTTGTGAAGTAAAATAAGACGTATTAATCATTTGCGCGTCACTTGAGGATGCTTACCTGTCTCTCAAGTGACTGCGGCATTTATGTGAACCTCTTGCAAGCAGAAAATGCCATAGATACTGTCATCCTTTGCTTCTTAGATGGAATCATCCGATGATCTTAAATCACTCCAAAAGAGGTGCTGGGCAGCTGGAGATGGTCCACAAAACATACATTTCCTAGACGTGTGGCTGTAGGCTGCTAAAGACTGCTCTGGTTTTCAAAGGGGGAGGGGGAGGAGAGTGCTAACTAAAGAAGTTAGCTCGTCCTATCTCAAGAGCCACAATCTCAGTAGTTAGGACTGTGAATTTACCTTGCCAAACCTAACCCATTCTCTTATGCTTCGCCCACCCCCAATCAGTTGGTAAAACATAATACTCAGAATTTACTAAATACCGATGGCATGGATGGGACTGCTATTTTATAATCCAGATAGTCTGTAAAGTTGAGTATTTTCACAGTACCCTCTAAAATTGGATTCCTTAAATGAGTTAAATAAAAGTGAGGGAAAGGGCTTGGCAGTAAAGAATACTGCTTTTGTTCTTTGATTTTCTATTTTAGTATACCTCCAGCGGATACAAGATAACAGTAATTGCAGGGGTTAAACTGGAGAACAGGACACCGTTCCTCTCAGTGTTCACATTTCTGCCTATTTTACGGAAAAGGCGATGACTTTGGAAACACACTCCTGAATACTATTTCAAAAGCTACAATTTATTGAGTTGGTAATTTTGATTGTGGTGGGCGGGGGCGAGCACCGAATTCCTGTTGGTCTTCTTCCTCGTTTTAAAAAGAAGACTGATAAAATCTACTTTGAAAATGTGTTTTGACTATTAAATATGACAAAGTATGCAAATTGCTTGACGCACAGTGGGAACTAAATGTAGCGCTTGTATCCCCAGTCTGTCTCCCGAATCCTGTGGCTGCACTTGAGACTGGGAGGATGCGGGGGATGGGGAAGGGAGGGAGACACACTCATCTTAGAGAGACCAGCGAGTGAAGCTCCAGGCAGGTAAATGCCTGGATGCAGGTAACTGTTTTCCAGAAAGACAAAATCCTGGAGGTGCGGGACAAAGTGAACCGAGGGATGCAAGGACCGCTTCTGAACTACAACTCCCGGGATGCTCAGCAAAAGGGAGCACCCCGCCCCGCCCTGCCCCGCCCAGCCCGACTAGGAGGGCGCCGCCCACCCAGCGGAACCCAGCAGGGAACACTGGCTACAAGTGCTGCGGCTGGGGAATAGCGGACTTTCTCAGGGAGCCACGCGGACGCGAGTGTTCCCGCTCCAGCTTCTTTGGGTAGCCGGAGCAGAAGGTAAGTGGCAAAGAGTGGGATGGGGAGGTGGAGAGGAAGTAAGCAGAGTAGGGAGAGAGAGCTGAAGCCTAGAGCTAAAAGGAACCGGGGCTTGCACCCCCATCCCCGCCCTAGGTGCCTGCAGGACCTCAGCGGATGCAGCCAGACTGCAGGTGCTTTGATGGGCCAAGAATTCGCCAGGAGAACTGATTGATCCCGCAGCCTGTTGGGGTCTCCCCTGTCGGGTGCTAGCAGCGGGTTCTGTAAACCGAGCGCTCTCAGCTTGCATCCCGCATCCCATACCCATTAGGTGGTCTCCTGCAGACTATCTTTCTTGTCCCTGTCAGTCCTGTCCATATTTTACTGCCTTTATTTGAGAAGCAGCGGATAGGGAAAATGCTGCCTCCTGCTTTGGAGGTGCAATCTCATTAACTGGGCTTTTAAACAGATGGGGGGGGGGTGAGGGGAAAAGAGGGGGAGAGAAGAACAGACCTTTAGCTGGTCCCGTGGGATTATCCATCATCCACTGATGCTGGAAACCTGGGAATACAGATCTGCAAATGGACTATAATGTTAGTCAGTCTCCAATAGAGGGGAGAGAGAGAGAGAGAAAGAGAATATATGAATGAATCTCTCCCTGCTTTGTTATAAATTGGAAGTCTAGTAAGGGACCCTGCCTATTTTATCTAAAAGAGTCTAATGTGATTTGTTAATCATGCCAAAGGTTAATCAGAGCGATTCATGCCTGAGGGATCCATCTGTGAGGGTTTATTTCCGGTAATTGATGAAAGTGGTCCCCATCTCTCGCTTCCCTCATTGAAGGATCCTTCCTTCAGCAGGGGCTTGTCCACTTGCTGATGGAAAACTGACTCGGTTATGGTTTTCTTGCACTTAGCACTGTGGGTTTGTTTTGTTTTGGTTTTTGTTGTTGTTTCACTTTTTATATGTTCCGTGCACAGGAGGGTAGGGACTTGAAGTACAGTAGAAAACAAGTCGATTTTCTTTTCTGTTCTGTGAGTTGCCTGCCTCTCTTAGGTGAGGCTTGCTTGTGTACCTCCATTACAGGCTGCTGGAGTTGGGGATTTTGACTGGTAATCCTCCAGCCGTGGGTTAAAGTTAATCACCACTCTGGATTGAAATAAAAACAAAGAGAATCCTTGACTAAGCCCACTATATTTATTGAGAATGGAGAGTGGATTTTTATTCTCCAGGAAGCTAGCAGAGGCAAGAAAAGATGGGCAGATGGATTTCTCTTCCACAGAGTTCCATCCTGTGGAACAGGCTCTTGGTGCAATGGAGGAGAGGGAGTGCTCTGGACACAGAGCCTCAACTGTAGCTTTGGAAACTGTTTCTCCCTTCTTTGCCTCTATTCAATACTATTTGTTTATCGTTTCTTTTTTCCCCTCTCAACTTACTTAGACCTCGAGTCTCAATGAGGGGGAGGGGCACTTTCTTATGCTTGTATGTTAGTTAGCAAACTGTAGAGAGGAGATTTAACTCAGACCCACTGAGACTTTTGCAAGTGAGAGCAGCAGGCGCTCATGGGAAACAGGTAGTATATATGTGTGTAGTGGACTGGCCCGCTGGGTTTTTGCAGAGACCATAGCAAAGTGTGTAAGCTTGGAACAGGGAGAGGACTAAGCCAAGAAGTGCATATGGCTATACTAACACAGGGCCCAAGGCTGTGTGTAGTGGTTATTAGATACCTGAATAAGGGAATCACTCACTAGTCCTGATGCTTCTTTTGGTCACTGGCTGATTAAGTCATCCCTTCCATTCACTTCCTAGCTGCTAAGTCAAGATGCTGACTCAACAGCACCCAGCTGATAGGAGCATGCGTTCATTAAAGCTAATCTGTATTAGAATCTGTTCCGGACTGGAGTAGAAACATGCACTCTAATTGAATCGTTCAGAAGTCTGTGCTAGATGGAGAACTCCAGAAATCCGGCAGTCTGCTAAAGAGGGCCCTGCCTCTCTCATTTGTATCTCTACAGGAAACTTGGCATCTCCTCTGCGGGATTCTGTCACGGGAAAGTGTGAGTCCCTGGATAAATTTGGCTTGGTGACGGCAGTGTGCTCTCCCCAGAGACACTGCCACTTTCTCCTTGTTCCTTCTCCACCCCGACCTGAGTTTCTCCCTGCTAACCCTGTGACAAGTCAGAAGATTTTTTCCTTTCCACACTCTTCTGCCACCAGGTTCCCTGTCTCGTTTGTCTCCCTCTCATGAGGAACTGAAGCTAAGGTGTCCTTAACCAGCCATGGCTGTAAAGGAAACAGGGACCAGAGGAGCGGGCTCCTCTATAGTACAGGCTTAGATTCTGCTGGGTTCTTATCTGTGTTGCCACTGGCAGAACTTCTGGAAATTGCTGCTGCAGGAATTCTAACCAGCTCCCATGGAGCTCCTCTCCCTGACTAAGAGGAACAGTTCAGAGGACTTGTGCAATACTCTGGAATGGAGTTCAGGAGGGACTCTTGGTGACCAGGTAGGGGGGACAGCCATCAGAGCTGCTCTTCGCTCACAGGAAAACTGTGCATCCACACCAAGAGCAGCTGGAGTAGAAGTGTCTAGACTTAGCCCTTCTCCGGCATCCCCAACCTCCTTGCTCCAAGACAATGCTATTCAGCCAAGGTTTTTCCCACCAGGACCTCCTGACTCAGGGAACAACCAAGTGATGGCCGATCGTAAAGTCTGCGACTGTTGCAGCCAGGAATTAGAAACTTCTTTTACTTACGTGGATGAGAATGTCAACTTAGAACAGAGAAGTCAGAGGTCCCCGTCAGCCAAAGGTGGTAATCACCCTGGAGATCTTGGCTGGGGAAATCCGAATGAATGGTCCCAGGAGACTGCCATTTCTTTGATCTCAGAAGATGAAGACGATACAAGCTCAGAAGCCACATCTTCAGGGAAGTCCATAGACTATGGCTTCATCAGTGCCATCTTGTTCTTGGTCACCGGTATCTTGCTGGTGATCATTTCTTATATCGTCCCTCGGGAGGTGACAGTGGATCCCAACACAGTGGCCGCCCGGGAGATGGAGCGGCTAGAAAAGGAGAGTGCGAGGCTAGGTGCACACCTGGACCGCTGCGTGATCGCGGGACTCTGCCTGCTCACGCTCGGGGGTGTCGTCCTCTCCTGCTTGCTCATGACGTCGATGTGGAAGGGGGAGCTCTATCGTCGAAACAGGTTTGCCTCTTCCAAAGAGTCCGCCAAGCTCTATGGTTCGTTCAACTTCAGGGTGAAAACCAGCGCTAACGAAAACACGCTGGAGCTGTCCTTGGTGGAGGAAGACAACCTTGCTGTACAGAGTTAACCCTGAACTTCGTGAGAGACAACTGTGCATTCTATGTGAAAACAATAATAATAATAAGTCGACAGTGTCCTTGGTTTGTTTGGCGAGAAAAGTTTTCTTTGGTTGTTGTTGTTGTTTTCCACCTCCCCCAAACCAGCCAGTGTTTTGTTTCCATGAATCTTTTATTAAGAAAGGCTGTGCGAGATGTCAAAGAAACCATGGCCATCTCTTTCTGACTCACTGCAAACCGAAAACTAATTCAGCTGGAATGACCATGAATTTCTACTTCTGCAGAGAAATACTTCCACTGACCTAATATACAAGTGTTTTCTTTTACATAAACATGGACATTATTATTGGGTACTAGAAGGGCTCCGGCACAATGGGATCACATGGCAATCTATTCCGTGGAACACAAGCACCACTTAGATAGGAAGGCTTACATTTAATTCCCATGGTGCTTTTCTATTTTTTTTGCTAAAATTTTATTTCTGTAATTTGGCTAAACACTAAAATGTAGACTTTGGGAGTATGAATGTTTTGAAACTTGAGAATAATGACTGATTTTTAAAAGCTATAAAATGCTATATTTTAAATTATTACTGTATTTAGAAATGTCAACCTGTATCATTAACATGCACCTTCTCATAAAGGAAATTATATAAATCATCTTCAGATACACAGGAAGTTAACTGTTAGCATAAGGTGTTTTCCTTAAGCCTTTGTCCCCCCCCACAATGAAGTAGAATAGTTGCCGATTCCTAGTTTGCTTCCTTGTGGATTTACCTTCAGCCTGATGACCTGTGCCCTCGAAAGCTTTACCAGTTCTCATACATGTAGGGTAAAGGATTAGACTTTAAAAATTTATCTCCTGGCAGTCAGACATCCAGCCGAGTCTGAGTCATGAGTAGGCCTGGCAGTCTCCCCAGGTGACATTTGGTAGTGGTGGTTTGGAGAGAGCCTCCAGGATAATTGCAGCTAGACTCCTGGGAACGATGCCTAACACAAGTCATTACTTAAAGAGTCCTTAAGCCTATAGCCAAAATCCTACACTGGAAAGAGAAAAATCAAACCCATTAATTTAGTGGGAGTTGTGTCCGCCCCTATTCCTGATTGCCCCTGACAAGGTCTAGACATCATCCTGAAAACCTACTTCGGGCCCTTAAGAACCACTTTCTCCTCTCCTCAAGTGAAAATGTTTAGTATATGGCAGGTACTGTGGGCAAGGAGGTCAGGAAAGGGATGGGAAATACAGCCTAGGAAAGATCTTGAATTGCACTGAGGTTCTTTGAGGTGGCCCTGCCCTTCCGCTTAGGTGTTTTATTAGTATATTACAAAGACAAGTGAGTTTACTCTTAAAGAAGACTGGAGCCAGGGCCAGGTGTGAGTGAGGGGAGGAGCTACTGAGCAAGGGATTTTGTTGGAGATTCTTAAATTCAATGAAGTTTAATGTAGACACCTGTGTTATTGAGGGCAGTGGGTGAGCTGTAGGAGTTTGTGCATCTGTGTGAATGAGCTCTGGTGCATACCAGTGCCATTGGTTAAATTAGCTTTATTAAAAGTTTAAGGAAAACAGTAATGGAGGATGAGGTAGGGATGGCAAGTTTGCCCTTGAATTCTTAGACAGAAGTAAGGAGAGTGTGGGAACTGTGGATATAGCTCCACAGCCACACCTTGTAAAATCAAGTATTTGGTCATGAACTGCTGGCTTACTAAGCCACTAAATACTAGAAGGAACATACATTTTGTTTGCTGTAGCTAGTCCTTTGTGCTTTGTTTTTTGGTGGCTCTCGGGTCATCTGTGCTGAAGGCACATTCCCAGAAGTGTAAACCTTACCTTCTCGGGGCTTATTCATCTTAGACTGCGAGTCAGCTTGAGGGACCACTTCAGAGATATTGAAGTGAGAAGGGAATCATCTACTTCCGTGCGTGAGTAGGTCTGAGCTGGGTTCAAATGGCAAGACAAAATGTGTAAAATAAAATTTAAACCAATTTAAAGCCAGACCTGGTGAATCATGTCTTGATTCTAACACTTGAAGAAGATCAATGCAAGGTCAAGGCCAGCTTGGACTACAGAGTGGGTTCCAAGGCAACCTGGGTAATAGAATGAGACTGTCTCAAAAAATATAATAAACTGTTCCTGTTTATTTATATGAGATCTCTGAATTTTGTTTTGATCTATTTGTAAACCATAATTAATTAGTTGCATAGCAAATTAAACAGAACTAATTTGTGGTCCAATTTTCAGTTCTTGATGAGCTTGAAAGTAAACATGAAGGCTGTCTTTTCAGTCCTAGAAAACTGATGATAACAGAAGCAAAAAGTCAGAGTTCTTTAATACATGACAAGTTATTGAACTCACTATTCTGCTAAATCATATAGATATGCTGTAAAGCCTCCTCTTTTTAAAATGCCATTTCGGAAAAGAAGATTTTAAATTGAAGGTTAGCAAATGCTCATCTCCACATTATTTAAACCTGCTTCAACAAGGAGAGCACAATACTCAAGGTTCTGCTGATAGGAGTGAAGGCCATTACACCCAAAGGGACCAATTGAGAAAATCACCTAGATGCTTTCTTTAGGCTGTGCTGATGTAAATCTAATAATTACCTTAATCTGCTTTCCTCCAGGTACTCTGTTTGTGTTGCCCTCACCCATTCTGTCAGTGCCTTTCTTTGAGATGATTTCCTAAATTTAAAATGAAACTAAGGATTATGAGCATGACTCAGGGATACAGTGATTATTTAGCATTTGTGGAACCCTGAATAGAGCCCTCAGCACTGCAAGAAAACAACGATAAAGATAAAGGTAATACAGGCAAAGAAAAATTGTGAACTTTCTGCACTGTTGATTTCAATACAATACAAAGTGGTTTGGGTATTGGAATTGCTTTGGCCTGACCATGTGCACAACCAGACATTGAGCAGGCTGAGGGGATGCTGTTGACCTCGGATCTTTCTTGGGCTTTGTGGATTGTCTCTTCCACATGATGCCAGTTGTTGTCTGTAGAAGCTGCACACGGATAACGGACAGTGTAGCTTCCTAGTATTTCCAATAAACTGCCCCCTCTGCGGACATTGGAAACTGCTGTAGAATTTGTGTAGCTCTCTTTGCTATGATGTTTCTTTACCAGCCATTTGCAGCTCCTGATGTGACCATGCAATATGAGGCTCTAACCTTTCATGTGAGGCAGTTTTCTGTCCCAGCGTCTTTCTCGGTATCTGATCTGTGATTTTGAAAAGTAGAAGGCTGCTGGGAACCATCAACTTCTCTCTGGCCCCAGTGTTTTCACCCATGCGACTGCTGGCACCCTTAATTCTGTAATACCCAGATACGTACCTTGATATCAAAATGTTGAAGCCCATCATCCCCTTTTTGAAAAATCTGTTTAAAGGCTCAATTTGACCCCAGCTAGCACATGTCTTTCAAGACACAATCGTAAGCAAAGTGCCATACCACAATATTTGTGCTGTCCTTTTCTTTGCCTCCAGGGTGAAGTCAGGTGAATGAAAGTGCACTGTGATAATTTTGTATCAAGAACTAGGTATCTGAGTGCACACACACACACACACACACACGTTTTAAGTATCTTTTAATTATCTTTTCAATAAGAAAGCATTCTAACAATTCCATAATGGACATTCTGGTCTTCCTCTCTCAACTGTGTACACATATGAAGCTCTTGTCTGGATTAATGGTCAGACCAACGAGAAGACCTCTATGTTTCTGCTAGAAGAATTTTCCAGCTGAACATCTGAGTCTATTGCAGCAGCTCAAACTGCCACAAAAGGGTGACCTGACATAGTGATTCACGACGCCTGTGCCCTTTGATTCACGACGCCTGTGCCCTTGGCAGCGAGGTACACTATCTTTTCCTAGGTCTAAGTGCACCGAAGAATAAGACGCATCCTTACGGTCTTCCTGAATTGCTTTAGCTTTTCTAAAACTAGGCATAAACAGTCACTATGATGTGGAGAATTAACATGAAGTCTCAGTGGGCTTTCCCCAGCACTCAGAAACTCGTAAAACAGATAATAAATAGTGTTGACTTTCAGACTCTTTGAAAATATATTATTTTATGGTCCACACAATAATTCTATAAAATCTCTCTTTTAGCTTTTATGGGCATACACCTTTGAAATTAATTTGCCTGACTGATATCAACACTGTCAAAGGGAAGGAGCTAGTGCAAATGCACAGACTTGCTTTTCAAAAATCCATGACTTAACTTGGCTTCTGTTAGTTAAGTACGCAGGTTGCTGCGTGGAAGCCTGTATATATGTTAGGGTATATTTTATAGATACAGAACTTTGATATTCCTAAACTATTGTTAGCTAGTCTTTTTGTTGGAATATGGCATGGTTTGATGCTGATTTTGTGAACAAGAAGTCTTTCACGGGTATCTAATAAAGAATTTGGAATCAACCTCAGACTGAGATGCTATAAATTCATAAGCCTGTTTGTTTGTTCAGAGTCCCACAAATGCTCTTTTGGTTTATTTTTAACCTTTCAATTACAAGTTCATAGATGTGTGTAATAGTTATAAATTCTTTTATTTTAAATTACAGTTCTCTTACCTAGAAATGTGGACAACACTCTCTTTGGCTCCAAAGTTTAGTGACTCCCCTGTGGTTCAGAAACAGCTGGTCTCACTTCTCCTTGCTGTCTGATTGCTTCCAACACAGACTGTAAACAAATTTGAGTATGAAGGCAAAGATGAATCCTTCCTCAGCAGTGTATTTCTCTGTAATTCTTTCCTGGCTTTTTACTCTACTTTTCTTGCCAACTCAAAGTGATATTGAATGTGTATTTTTTGATACACAAGGTGGTCTTGGAAGATGATGGGCTTTTTCCTCGTGGCATTGATGCCTCACATGTTAATAATGTGTCCTATAATTTTGAAATAAAAATATTTATTGAGATGGTTTTACTGTGTTCAGATTTTATTGAAGTCTGATATAATACAGATTTAGTCTTTTAAACGTATTTTTAAAATTAATCTTATATAAGAAAAAATAAAAGTCAAGTGTAACATTCTTCTCACTATCCTATCACTAAACTATGCCTTATTAATTTTGCTTTGTATGCATGAAAGCTATTTTGTGTGTGTGTGTGTGTGTGTGTGTGTGTGTGTGTGCGCGCGCTATTTAGAGTTCTCTAAATTACCTGGTATTGAACTCAGAGTATGAATTGCATGATGCTTTTAAAAACATTTCTAGAACACTCATCTGAAAATCCAAGGTTTTATACCTCAGCCAGCATGGCTTAGTGCCTTTACCAGACTAAGAAATCTAAGTAGGGGTAGTATGCAAGGCAATGAAGAAAGGGCAGACAGACAGACACATGTACTTGGTTCATGTGTGTCACCTGCACTTTAATGGAGTGGCACCACCTACCAAAACAATCCAGGACCTCACCATGCTTGTTATGTCCAGAACAGGAAAAGGAGTCAGCCAGGCTCTGCAGGAGGGCCCTGTAGGCGAGCAGTCTCCAGCTGTAGACATCCAGGAGGAGGAGGCTTCAGTCGCTGGTCTATGCACACACTGGTGATTCATTTTTAAACACTGGTACTTGAACCTATCACTTTGCCCAAAAGTAAATGCTAGTACCTGGACCAAGGCTTTGCCTTTCTGATCTTGACCAGGGAAAGGATTTACCAGTTTCCCATGCATCCAAGTCCTTGATCCATGACATGCAGTGCCCGTGTCAAAATATGCATTCATTTTAGGATGCCTTTCAGTCCTTATCCATTCTCTCAAGGCTTTCTCATATACTCATAGCAGTAAATATTGAACTACATTATACTTATTTTTCCATCCTTTCAATTGAATTTTGATATCCATTTTCTTTTGTTTCATTAAGTAGAATTGTATCCTTATTATGTATAAGTGTTGTCAAGGTCAGTTGATTCTAAAAAGAGAATTGGAATTAAGTGTGTGTGTGTGTGTGTGTGTGTGTGTATACAATTTATCTTTGACTTTTATTTTACCTTGCCAAACTATCAAAAATTGCTTTGGAATACAAAAGAAAAATTGCAGCTCCAAAACAGTCAGGGATACACAGAGAAACCCTGTCTCAACAACAACAACAATATATATATATACTGTTTTAACAATATCAAGATTCTTGCTTATCATTACAAAGAAAAAATTAGTTACTGCCACATGTATATTTAGAAAATGCTGTTTGTTTTGTTAACCAACTGTGATCATCTAGGAGGTGTTAAGACAGATAAATCTCATCGTCTTCTTGCAATATGATCCTTGTACATCACATACAAGACAGTCTCAAGGGCCTGGTATTATGTTGCCCCTCTTTGTAGATGTTGCTGTTATCAAAACCAGAGAGATTAAAAGGGATTTTCAAGGTAGCAAACAGGTACTCCGTCCACATACAAGTTTTAAGTCTCAGCTAGATATAGGGCCCTGTGCCAGCCAATAAACATGATGTTAAATGATTCCACAAAAGTATATAATACTAAGAAGTAGAAAATGAAAATTTAGAACTTTTTTCACTGACAAACTGATTTTTATTCAAAGGTAGAAGAACTGTTATCCAAGAAAAAATCTATTTATGATATTTTACTTTATAGTTATCATTATTAAAATGGTTCCAATAAACCTACATAGGCAGTTTTTCTTTAGTGCTCATGTGTAGTCTGCAGGGTGGGATCCAGGGAGAGGTAACCATGTCTGAATGATTACTTTATGCCAAGTATTTTGCATTCATGTAGTGTATTGGCATGGTCTCAACAGCACATGATGCTATAAGCGTCAGAACCAAGAAGACACAAGTCTTGAAGCTTGAATGACTGTTCTGCTCTTCCCTTGTCCAGTTGTCTGAGCCATAGTTTCCTTGTCCATAACATGGTGACATTTGCCTTGTGGGATGTTGACGAAACTCAAATTTTTCCTCCATGATAGACTGTTTTTCTTTTTTCTGTCCCTCCTCCCCATTATCCTATCCTTTCCCACTCTTCCCCTTTCTCTCCCCCTTTCTCCCATGATCACAATCATCCTTGTCATCGTCCATACAAGGGTATCCATCAAGTCTCATGCTAGAATCACTCCAGTGCCCAATGCTTTCATGTTAGAAACATTCCTCTAACACTTTTTTTGGTATGGAAAAAATACTGAAGACATTGTCTTTTGCTTAATTACAGAGTATCATGGAATAATACTGTATTCACGTTCTCCAGATCTTGAGTAGCTAGAGCTCCAATCAACTGTTCTGTGGCAGAAATTCAGTTATTGACTGAACAGAAGAATTTTTCCATAAAGAAATTGTAAAATAAATCCTTTTGCTTGGTTGAGAAACCCCATTCCCTTTCCCTTCCTTCTCCTCCTCTTCCCCTTGTTTCATCTACATTTGCAGTGTTGAAACCTAAAAGATTATGTCATGTGATAACTCTGGCAAAACCCTTTTATTCACGTAGCCGGACTCAGAGTGCATGTGCTTCAATTTATCTTTGAATTTTGTTTTACCTTGCCAAACTATCAAAAATTGCTTTGGAATACAAATAGTATTAAGAAAAATTGCAGCTCCAGGCCAGCCTGGGATACATAGAGAAACCCTGTCTCAACAACAAAAGCAACAAAATGTACATATAATAAAAATGAATGAATGAATGACAAAGAAAGAAAAGGAAAAATTGCTCCAAATTGATCTCATTATCTCCTGGATAATTAAATAAAGTATTTGGCGGTACCCTCTACTGCTAAGTGCATCCACGGTAAGGAAACCAGGGCAGCGGAGCAAGAAGAAAGCAGAGCCTGCACCTGCCTTCAACATTATCTTCTACAAAGGATGAGTTGGCAAGGGAATTTCCTGGTAGCAGATGGAATGAAAGGGGCTGGGGCAATCAGTGCTAGATTCTAAATAGTGAGACATGAGGTTAAAAATCCATCAATAATGAGCCCGTATGTTATAGATCATTTTAGAGACAGAGCTGTGGAGTATCATTTCAAAAGAGAATCATTAAACTGAGAAAGGGAAGCTCTTGAGTCAGAAGGATAATTCAGGTCTGGAGAAAAGAAAATTTGATTATGAGCATTGGCACAGAGAACTGACGGAAAAGAAGTGGTGGAAACACGGGTATTAAGAAACTTGACTGTCAAACCATGGCCTTCTGCCCATTCGAACTTCAGAAAACAACTGTTAACCAGGATTGTGCTGGTAGGAAATGCGCTGGGAAATACATCTGGCCTTCAAGCAAAGTTGCTCCTAAATACCCATTTAGACGTGGTTCTACAGAATTAAGGACAACAGGCTTCCCGAGGCGCCTAGAAGACCAGGAGGAGGTCAAGTGCATTCCAGAAAGCAGAAAAGGTCCAGATAAAGGAATTTACCCACGCCCCACATAGAAGAGCTGCAAAATTCCTGCCTGGCAAATCTCAGCGCTTTTGTGGACCGGTAGCTAGGTGAAGAGGGTTTCTTGCGGTTGCCATGCCCCTGTTCTGTCCTCCTGTACTTGATATGCAGCATAGCATCTCATTTGTTTACAGTTTGTCCAATCACATGACGAGTCATCTCAACCCTATGAAGAAGATTGTGCATTTGGGGATGGGGGTGGTGTTAGCTTGGGAACTGTGAGGAGTGTGAAGATCGGACTTTAACTTGGGTATTTGGTGATGCGGGAGAATTGTCTGTATTCTGTCAATCATATTTTAATAAAA